CATCCATTCCTCCATTTTCATAATTCGGCAGTCCCAATGGTGTGAATGCACACGCATGTGAGAAGTGGCTCACAAATAGACAAACTAAGGACGCCATTTCTGTGCAGTTCTGTTTCTCTATCCGCCCCCGCGGGAAGCACGAAATACTCCCGTGGAAAAATAATATTTTATCGGTTCTTTCTTCCCAATCCAGGCAACTCACACGAGTCACTTTCAGGATTTATTAGATGATTCTTCGGTACCTTTATTCACCTGATGCACAGACTCCCATTTGGATTCAGGAACGCTGTGCGTATCAAAATTCTTTGATTTCGAAAGCTGCTCGGCATTCGAGTTNCAGATTGTTCTTTCAAATCTCTCACGGATAGAAATCGAGATGTTGCAACGTATTTGAGAAATGGGTCTCTCGCTCACTGTTCTCCGCTCCCGATTACCTACACTTCATCTTCTTCCGAACTGGCTCGCTCAGGAGAAGTTGACTGTTCGCAAAAACACTGGAATAGCTTAAGTGAAAAAGTAAGGTAGTTGTGCTGTCAGATTTGCTTGTTACTTTCACGGAATCTCATCTCTGACAGTGATCACAGGGGATTGAGAAAACCACTGACTTTCACAAAATGTCCGGAATTCCTGTTGAGGTCATCCGTCAAGTCATTTCGGCCCTCAGTAGAAGCTAATAGAAGTAAGGCGAAGCGCACAAGTTAACTGTAACTTCTTCTATTCGAAGAATCTTTCTTGAATCAGGCTAATTGACTAACGTAATGTTATTGGTTTGTTTGTAGAAGCTATTGCATCATGCCTAATAAGAACGATCTCTGACCTATTCAGAATTCAGTTTTCAACGATTTCATAGACACTATGTCCCGATAACCCTCGGACCAATCGCTTTAGCCCCAAGGCCTACATGGTAAACCTTTAAATTGTTCATCTTCTCTTGGTCACGTATGAAATCGATGGCTAAACACCACAGAATGACAATCCACATTTCCACTGCCGCATCTTGGTAGCTTTCCCTTACTCATTTTTATTTGGGTGTTTGTGACTTCTGACTGTGCCCTTTTCCAATTCTTCCTCCCTGACTCTCACACACAGTTTTCGTGTGTCATCTCTTTGTGATTCATGTGATGCTCTATTTAGTTTCCCAGACGGTGAAGTTCACGAAGGATGTGCGTGATCACATTCTCTCCCTTGCTCTTTCTGTCTCGCTTTAGTTTCGTAATCGCATGATTTTGCTGTTCGTTGCCAACAAACTCATCAATAGTGGTAGTTCCTAGTCCCCGAACGACAGCAGGGTTGATTCACGCTGCACGATTCACATTCTTTCCTTTATGGCTATACCGTTTTATCCAAGGCAATCGCTTCAGGCCACTCAGTGTCGTTGTCTGCCGCTAATGTTTCTTTAACTGTTCACAACTTCCATCAGTGCAAATCTGAAACGGGAGTTTCACCTGATTGATCTCTGGGCAGAAACGGGCACCAATCGTTAATCTAGTAGCGCAACAATTGTGACCGTATGTGTAATCACAATTGAAGTTCACTGAGACAACACGCATTTGCTAGTGGGTTCTTTAGAGTCCCAATTTCCCACTTGCTTTTTCCCCTGTTATAATCACCGTCGATATGCGTTGTCAACTGTAACAGCCTTTCTTACTATCCGAATGGAAGCATTCACGACGCGAGCAGAAATTTCGGTAAGTGGTAATGTTTTACAATGAAATCTGGTTCCCAGGTGGCTTCAGTAAAGATCTGTTCTGTTCTATCACACCAAGTGTTTCTTTGTTACCGGAAATGACTTTTGAACGACTATTTTCTCCATGGGAATATGCCAACCTTTGGCATATTAAATTAATAAATAAAGTTGGGAATGTAATACAATTTCGTATGTACAATGCCACTTGGTATTTTTCTTTACAGAGGCACATCCGTTGGGCAGCACTTTAGTTGCGATGTCCGCATTTTGGAACGACTCAGGTTAGCGAACTTCAGAATACTTTATTGGAACATTTCTTGTGGCTTATTGCGGTAAAATAATCGACTTGCGACACCGGAGACCGTCACGTCCGTATGGCTCGTTGGTGTTGGCCTACCGCAGCTTATTCCATACATGATCAGTATGTCATCCCTAACCTGAAAGCGGACGTAAAAATGTATGGGTTCACTGAACACCAGCATGTAGTTGGCTACGATTTACGCACTCGATCTGAGTTCAACGCCGAACCCTCCCAACACCATACATTTTTTGGCATCGAACGTTTACTGTTACACGGTTAGCTAAATGGTGCAGGTGCATTCATTAGCCGTTTCTCTGACTGATTCAGAGCTGCATTTGTGTGCATACTGGAACTGTCCTGATAATTCGCGATGGAAATCATCTACCCTTCTGGCCCACCGTAATCAGTAGGTGTCTGTGAAGGAAGTATACTGCTTTACGACGTGTTAGCCCGTGGACAGTCTTTTAGTCTTACAACATGTTTGTTTAGCTACTGGGATTCTGACATAACGTCAGCGTGAACGCTGAGTTTTTCAGCATACTAAGCCAGTTTTATTCTGGGTGATGTTTACAAACTGACTTTCATGGGGTTTGTGGCACAAGTCGATCGACTGACCGGACGAAGATACGATAAATGATGTACAAAGTATCATGTATTGAAAATATTACGTGGTTCCACTGTTTTATTTACCTTTATGGATAACGAGATGTAAGATATGCTAATGACTTGTCACATCTCTACTTAAAAGATTCAACAATTGGCGCACAAACGAAGTGAGATGTGAGGGCTTTCCATATTGAAGCACTATGTTGAAGGGATGTCCCTGGAGCTGGATGTTGGTCGATAGTGTAAGCATCAGACGAAATGGATGGTTTGGAGAGCGTTTAATGCACCTAAATCATTTCTCATATTCGGTCGTACTGAGTTGAATATAATCCCGACGATTGCAATCTCTCGTATGGATAACTGAACGCAGTTTGTTGCCCATTTTAATGACTGACGATCATTTGTAAACGCACACCTTACGATCACATCTTACCCATAGAATCCATGTATGGTTGGCACGAATTGTTAAGTCGCCGAATGAGTTAGGGTCTGGGAAACAGCGTGAGTTCTATATTTGCACTATGAACTATGCTACTAAAACTGTCTTAAGTTAAAAGCAATTTGCTTTAACCAATGACTCACTGAAACCAACTGGTTTTAATAGTGTGTTGCTCGGAACTGCACATTGATTCATTTTTTCCCCGAACCAAGTTCACAAACAAGGTTTCAGCCTGAAAAATGTTTTTGATCGTCTTGTCTCTGTTGACCAAGAATCAAACTGGAACCCCCCTATGCCCAATAATGCACTAACACTCCAGAGGAAGCAAACGTGCTGTATGCGTTTACTGGTGTCTTTTGATCTTTAAAGAATACTGTGCATACTGCACATCGTTTTGCAAAGACATTGAGTGCTCAGCCTGTCTCAAACCATGTAGTTTTTCCCTGTTTATTCGATAACTACGATTAAGGATTGTATAAATCATTCTATCTCCACAAAACAGATGATGAATTGAGGCAATAGCGGGAGTGTTGATTTTCAGAGAACCAGTTATTTCACCGTAGACTCTTCCTCACATTCCGAGTCTCTTCAAGAATGCGTTGTATGCACATTATGAACGGTTTGTCTAGAAGGACGTAACGCCAGCAGGAAATTGTTCCGTTTGTTTTTCCCCAGGTCTGTTTGTCATCCTGGGGTAAATCAAGTGAACTGCCAGCCTTTTGCTGTGCACGGTGCTTGTGCATAAAATGTTGATCGTGTTTGCGAGTTGTACGACCCATCGCAGTCGTTATTAAATGGTGTTTTTGTTTCCAATAAAAACATATGTTTCTCTGTTCTGTAACCCCAAATCACATACGCTTACAGTTAGATGTATAGCAACATGCTACTGTGTTTTGTGCAGGTGGTCAGCCCGGTGCGAATCCTGTGCTAATTCGTTCTGGTTCACTTAATACTGTTGGCGGGACAGATGCTCCTACCACGATCCCTGCCATGATTGTTCCGGCCACAGTCTCTTCGGGCTCATCTGCTAGGCCGGTGATAACTGTCGTTCCGGGCAACACAGCTACCACATCCCAAGGGCAACCAAAAGTGATTAGAGCCAATCTAACTCCTGGCACAAAGACTCCGGTTCAAGGAGTCAAAGCGTCCACAGTGTTGCCCACAGGAGTCCCAGCTCAACCAAATGCCACGGCTGGACAGGCGCGTGCTGTAAGCGCAGCGAATGTGGGTAAGCAAATATCTGTTTTATATTCAAAACCGTTGTTCAGTTATTATCGTCCGGTATTTCTGAAACTGCCACAATAACAGTCAGGCGTTCGATGAAAGACGCTCCTTAAGCGGTGGTGTAGTTATCAGTGGTTCTGTAAGCTAAGTTTAACCTGATCTGCACAAAGCATTGCCGGATACAAGACTACTTTCGTGGGCCGAATAAAGAGGCAACTTTTTAACTCCACCATAGCGTATCCCAGAGGGAGTTAAACATAGAATGACGCAATATAGCACAACTCCACTGTTAAATGACAATAATTGTACACAACAGTTTCTACCATCGTCGATACCAAAACATCTTCTGGCGTCTTTGGATTGGCCAAAGCACGACTTTCGAAACGTTGTGTACAGCGCAAAATACGTGGCTGTTACAAGAATCCGAAACTACTGCAATTAAACTTCAGAAGCCAAATTTTCGTTTTAATATTCCCCGTCATTTTTGCACACAAACCTCATTTGTATAGTGTGAATTTTCTGCAGTACGCATCAATTGAGACCAACCGAAATTATCCTGGACATAAATCATGCAATGATGGCATAGTAGCTGTTCGGTTCAAATTAATATCAAGAAAAATTTGTTTCCCGAACGAAATGGTTCTTTCAATCCTTTTCAGTATTGAACTGTTCTTCATGAACGCATGCTATGCGAATTAACGTATTCTGTCCCAAGCTTTTAGTCGCAAAACTCGGCACCATGGTTCTAGTTACTGTATCTCTGGAGAACCAGTATGAGAAAAACTAGAAAGAAGCGTGACCAGAGCACAATATCATCGTACTCCTACTGATCGCTGCCAGGCTCTCGATGTACCCACTGTGAGTGAGAAAGTACAAGATGGATAGGATTTTGGTCCAATTGGAGGGCAGCAAAGAAAGTGAACCTCTGTGGGAAATACAGGGTGCACAACCTAACTGTGCATACATATCTTTTCAGTTATTCTGACGGGATAAGAAATAACAACAAGAACGCCAGTGCTGTCAGTTAGTTGCCATTTCCTTCGTTACTCCGACCAACCAGTTACCGAGTCTTTCAGAAGCCAACCTGAAAGATGGTAGACACCTACTCTAGCTAATGGCTTTTTACATTTCCGCATGCCTCGTTCTCACGTCGTCTGTAACATTATGCATATTCCCGACTGATCTATTTTCCTTATCATTTTAATTATTCACTACTGAGTTTGTCCTGCTTTTCATTATTAAGTGTCTCCTTCGATGTTGATATACTTTCTGTAAGGTCGCCCAGTTTCCCAAACGACCAATGAAAATGCTTCTCGTTCGGGTGCATCAGGTGCTGCATCTGGAACGCCTGGTGCAAAACAACCTGCTCAACCGTATTCTCCTGAAGTACAGGCCAAAATTCTTAATGGATTAACTAAATTGGCCACTAACTTTCTTCCTGCTGTGCGGCATGCAATTCAAGTGGTGTCCGATTTGCCGGACTCAGCACTTTCTGTTCGGAAATACGTGAAACTGAAAGACATATTGGAACATCCGGAATCGAATTTGCATGTGATTCGATTGAATCAACTCCCGTTGATTGAACAACTGCTAAATCAAATCTCACTCAATCCGTTACAACTTTTCCAACAGCAGCAGCAACAACAACAAGGAAAATCTGCTCATTCGGCTCATCAGTCACAACAAAGATCCAATCAGGCTCGAGCGACAGCTGCAGCTGCTGCCGTTGCTGCGGCCGCAGCGAAAACTATGACTGCTGTGCCATCGAACGAGGGTGCCAGAATGGGAGCAGAACTATCAGGCGGTCCAGTCAACTCCGACCAATCGGTTAATCATCGGAACGCTGCCTCTGCTCAGCAAAGGCTGATGGGCACTCAACCGCAACAACAGCAACAGCAGCATCAGCAACCACAGCAATCTCAGTCTGTGTCGCAACAACAGGCTGCTCGATTTCGTGGTAAGTGGCCCATACCAGGAAGGAAATATAATCACCTTCCGGGTGGGTTAATAACATTCTCAAATGGTGTTATTCAGTACGTCCTAGTTTTATCATTGTGAAGAGACCGCACTTGTACGAAATAAGCTTTGGTGGTCTGTTCCATGTGAATAATGGCTAAACACCAAGGTGAGAAAAGTAGTTTTTTATCGGTAATCATGTTTGTACCGTCACTATGCTAATATTTCGCAACAATTTTTCTTTTGTGCCGGTTAACCTAATAGACCCTCAAGTTAAGAGTGTACATCTCTGCAGCCCGTTCAATTTCACTATATTGCTTCCCGATCTTTTTCCATGCTGAAGATGCCAAGTGGCTTTCTGTATTTGACATTGCTTGTCTCTGG